AAGAGGGCATCAGATCCTCCAAGACTGCAGTTACAGAAGCTAGAAATTGAACCTAGATCCTCTGGAAGAGCAGCCAGTGCTCTTAACAATTTAGCTATCTTTCCAGACCCTACTTTATTTTCTACACTTCAAAATGTTACTTGGGAATTGGATGTGGTATTGCATGCCTTTAATCCAAGCACCGGGGAGGCAGAGGTAAGCAGATCTTTATGAGTTCAAGACCAGGCTGGCCTACATGACAAGTTCCAGACCAGTCAGGGCTACATAGTGAGACTGTGTCTCAGACAGACATACAGATCATAAAATATGGAGGTTAGCAAGATGACTTAGCAGGTAACACCTAATGCTGAACTTGACAGCTGGAGTTTGATAGCCACATGGTGGGAAAAAAGAGCTGAGTCCTGAGAGTTGTTTTCTGACCTATACACATATGCCATGGCATCTGGGGACACACACACGAACACAGACACAAACACGGACACATGTGCTTGCACACATAAAAAAAAACAGAATAAATTTAAAACAGTTACTTTCATTGGCAAGATGGCTCAGCAGGTAGAAGTGCCTTCCAAGCCTTGTGACCTGAGTTGGATCTCCAGAACCAATAGTGACTCCCCAAAGTTGTCCTCTGATCTCCACTGTCATGCATGTCATGGCACATGCCCCAAAACCTCCTCACATGCATAGCACACACAATAACAAATCATTTAAAGTGATACTGGGCAATGTGTGTATCATTTAATCTGGTAATTTTATTTCTCGACATTTATCCCAAGGAAGTCATAACACACACACACTCACACACACACACACACACACACACACACAATGAATGAATGAGAATGTTCAGCACAGTGTTATTTATACCACCGCAGTGTATGAAGAGTCAGTGTGAAGTTCTCCAAGGCTAATCAGGCAGAAACATGCTTACTTAGGGCAGTGAGTAAAAAGGCTGGTGACCAGGCTATATACGTAATCTTGGCTGCTTACACATAGTAGAAAAGCCCAGCGTGAGAGTCACTAAAATATTAGCAGTGGCAGTGCTGGGGGTGGGTTGACAATGCAGTGACTTACATTTTCTTTCATGTGTTTTCCTGATTCTGCAGTGGAAATGTGTCTCTATAATTTGAAAAGAAATGCTTGGGGTTTTAGATTCTCCAACAAACTACACAAAAGGGAAAGGGTAGAAATCCTAGGAACAGAGAATTGCATTCTGGGTACCAGAAGTCATGGTTACCATTCTATCTGACCATCTTTTGGTCTGCTAGGCTCTCTATTCCTATCTTATAGATTAATTAATAAATAAAATGTAAATGCAGACTCAAAGAGGTGAAGCAATTTGTTCCAGGTCACAAAGTTGTAGGGGCAACATCTGTGTGGTTTATCTGTGTCTACATCCAAGCCCATTGCTTCATAATATATCTATATCTATATCTATATCTATATCTATATCTATATCTATATCTATATCTATATCTATCTATACATATACATACACTCATACTTGATGTGGGATTACACATACATACATTCATACTTGTGGGATTATATGTGGGGTGTGTGTGTGTGTGTGTGTGTGTTGCTGTGGATCAAGTCCAAGAAATTCTTTTTAGTACTAAAAGTAAAGACTCAAACCTGGCTCACAGTTCCCATATATAACAAGGAGTGAGATGGAGGCATGGTTCTGCCTCTCGGTGCAGCACTGGGCATCTGTTGCGTCTATGCATGTCCACGGAGATCCCTGTAGGATGGGCAAGGCCAGGGCAACCCCGTCACTCGTCACTCTCCTCTAGAGCAAAAACACTGTACTTTGGAAAAGGGAAGTGAGACCTGGCCAAGGTTGTGTGATAAGCGAGGCATGGCTTTGCGAGCTGCTCACCCTCTCTTGATTCAGCCCTTTCTCGTATTCCCACATCCTTTATCCCCCTGCACCACAGTGGAAACCAGGAGCCACTGATGTCTTTGAGACATTGAGATTGATAGTAAACTCTTTTTTTTTTTTTTTTTTTTTTTTTTTTTTTTTTGGTTTTTCGAGACAGGGTTTCTCTGTGGTTTTGGAGCCTGTCCTGGAACTAGCTCTTGTAGACCAGGCTGGTCTCGAACTCACAGAGATCCGCCTGCCTCTGCCTCCCGAGTGCTGGGATTAAAGGCGTGCGCCACCACCGCCCGGCCGATAGTAAACTCTTAATCAGAGAAATCAGTTTGGCTTTAAAGAGAGCATGTAACTGGAACTGGAGGTCTCTGAATTGGGGGCACAGTCTCCCCCAGGTTGACCTGAGTGGGCTGCAGGGGCCACTGGGCCTTCCCTTAAGAGGGCAGATGTCATTGGATCTTCATACCTGTCTAAATCCCCAGCACTAGGGGAAATTACTGAGGAATGGCTTGCAGGAGAGCAAGAATTTGGGGCTTTCCTTTGGTGTAATACACTGTGTGTGCTCTAATCCTTCTAAGTGCAAAGGACTCGTTAGTAATGAGAACTTCCCACCTGTGTCTTGTGCCCTCCCCACCCTCCCCATCTTCAGTCTCCTCCCTCAAATCGACACAACAGTCTTCCTCACTTTCCTTGACTCTTTGCATATGTCTAGCCAAATGAGAAACAAATGTGAAATCCACTCCCTGTGATTTTAAAAGGCTTAAATGAGGAGCCCAACAGCCTGGATTGTCATCTTTACTCTGCCATTCGCTGTGTACGATTGACCCATCACTCAACCTCTCTGAGCCTTGCTAGCCTCATCTGTAAAATGGAGCAAAAGTCTCCCCTGGGTTACTATCCAGGTGCTACTGGATGCATATCGATGTGAATTCCAGTCTTATTAATTTTTTAACGTTTATTTTTATGTGTATGGGTGTTTTGCCTGCATATATGTGTGCGTACCACTTGCATGTCTGATGCCTGAGGAAGGGAGAAGAGGGCATCAGATACACTTGGAACTGGAGTTGCAGAGTGTTGTGATCTGCTGTGTGAGTGCAAGGAATCGAACTCGGGTTCTTTGCAAGAGTTACAAGTGCTCTTAACCACTAAGCAATCCAGCCACCCAGTATTATTCTTTAAGTATCATAAATACATATGGAAAAGACTTCCATTGCTGTGAAGTGGAGGGGTCAGTGGAGTCTGTACCACCCAAAGATTCTGAAGATTGTAAATCTTTCAGGGGCAGGGTGTTTGGTTTGCTTTAGGAGATAAGACTGGAGGCCACTGTCTTGCCAATCTGTAGGTAGTGTTTTGGCTTGGAGATCTAGGGTTTCAATAATGTTGAAATTGCCAGGTGTGGTGGCACATGCCTTTAATTCCAGCACTCAGGAGGCAGAGGCAGGCAGATCTTTGAGTTCAAGCCTACCCTGATATACAGAGCCAGTTCTATAGGACAGCCAGGGCTACACAGAGAAACCCTGTCTCAAACAAACAGATATTGATGGACTGTCCATGCTTGCTGTTCTTGGAGACCACCCCCTACATCTGAAACATGAGTCTTCGACCCCTACCTGAGGTCAGATCTGTATTGAGAACCTCTTTCTGCTCTTGGGTCAAAGCAGGACAACTTTACAGGACTAGCAAATCACTGAAGTCGGTCCAGCTGACTAGCTATCCATTCATGAAGCATCTTTATCTGGGGAACTGGAAGAAGAGCTTGAGACGGTGTCAGACACGTAGGGAAGCCAGGTAGATGAGGAGATAACAGGTGATATACTTCCCAGGGTCAGCCAAGAGCAGAAGCTGGAACAGTATTCCCCAGTCGACGTCTGACCAGCAGAGAGATTCTACACATGGTTCCTCGTGGGCCTAGGGGCCCTGGGTAAAACTATGTGTCTGTCCTTCCATCCACCCATCTGTTTATCTTCCCCAAACTGCCTGCTGAGGCCAAGCCAGAAACAAGCCCTATCTTTGGCACAAGGCCACATGCTAAGATGAATCAGATGGTACCTACTGGAGCCAGTGGGTGGAAGAGAGAAGGCATGCCAGGAGGAGGCTACAGCAAGGACCAGGGCTGGTGGATGGGAAAATGTTGGGCTGAGGCAGGTTTTTCACTGTGACAACAAAGGGGACAGCCTAAATGCCCAGCAGGTGCATTGATGGCTACGAAGAGGCAAAGAGAGGAGGCACAAACAGCAGGCTTTAGAAAGGCAAGCAGAATGTTCCTGAACCAGGGAGGCTACAGAGAGTCAGAGGAACACTGGAGGCAAGACTTCGTACTTGACTCCACCATAATGTCTTCAGTGGGTCTAGCTTCCTCCCAGCCCACTGGTTGATGCCCCTCTTTCCTACTTGTACTTCGGGGCTCTAATTGCACTTGGGTCAAGGGTTTGAAGATTGACAATCCTATGCCTAGCCCTCACATCTATACCCAGGTGCCCAGCTCTTCATATCCAGAGGATCCCCTTGTCCTCAGAGCATCTGAAATGAGACAAACTGGGAATAAATCCCCGGTGCTTTAGCTAGATGACCTTGGGTGAGTCATCCCATCTTTCCGACCTCAGTCTAATACACTGTTGCATAGCATCAGTGTAAGCACCATGGCTTGGAGAGGTGTCTGTATCACAGGGAGGACCTAAAGCTTGACCCAGCCCCCAACCTAGCATCTGGAAAACAGGTCAAGCTTCGGTTCTGGGCACTTGCGGACCAGTGCAACATTTTTTTTCCAACCCAGGAGACTTGGGAACCCAAAACCCAGGTCCTCAATGATGGCACTGACTGCCCAGAGACAAGCCTGGGGTGGAGGGTGCGAAGTGAACTCCTGTAGTCCTCAGTATAGCTAGCATCTCCTTTCCCAGAGTTCCTGCACGGGCTGGCAGAAAAGAAAGAGGGTGGTGGGGACTCAGCTGATAAGAAGGAGGAATAGGCTTATCTCTTCTTGACCTCCTACCTCGACTTGGGACTTCACTGACCAGCGTGCGGGTGGGGGCAGGGCAGGACCAGCCTCTCTTGCACTGTTGGGGGGTGGGGGGCGGGTCCCTGGGGAACCGCTCCTCCCGCCTGCCGCCACTTTAAGAGGCTGCTCCACCGCAGCAAGCGGGGCCGGAGCCGCAGACGGAGCAAGCGGACGGAGCGGATCCGGCAGGTGCACCGCCGCGGGGACAGCAGCGGCATGACCGGCCACCACTGTTGGGGCTACGGCCAGGACGACGGTAGGCGCAGACCCCTGGTTCTCTCCCAGCTGGGTTCGCTGCGACCCGCTCTTCCGACCAGGTTTTCGGAACCCTCAAGCCCCGCGCTCCAGAACCCACCCGGACCTCTCTCTTGTGCAGTCCTCCAAATCCGACTCTTGCCTTGCTTCCTCTGATCCGGGAGCAAAGTCCGCGTTGCGCCCCGGGCCCGCCAACGAACCCTTGGTAGCTGTGCGCGTCTTGTTGCCGCCTCCGCGCGGCGCGGGACTGCAGCGCTGGCTCCCACCCGGCCCCGCACTCTCTCTCCCCCGGCGTGCGCAGCGCTTGCAGGTGGCTCAGGGCGACGGCGGTGGGAGGGGGTTTGCCACGTCGCAGCGCCATGAGCGGGTGTCATTGCGGGGAGCGCGCACAGCGGGTATGCGGGAACCTCTCGGGAACTGGGCTCGGTGTCCCCGCGAGAGAGTTTCCGCTGGAGTGTCCAAGCAGCGTTGCAGGCTGGTATGCGAGGAAAGCGGGAGGGCACCTGGGGACACACAGGAATGTCTGGGTGTCTATACCCGGTAGAGTGTTTAAGCGCATCCTACGTGAGTGGGACCATGGATGCCAGGTCTGGCTAGGACCGCTCCTCCATTCTGCCTCAGTTTCTTTGGTGTGCAGAGGGAGGATGGAGGAAGCCACAGCTTGAGTGTGGGTATGGGGCAGGTCAGTTCCCTTTGGGCGAGTTTCTTGCCAAGAAGAGATAGGGTGTGGGCCAAGCAAAGGCTTCTCCATTTCCCAGAGAAGAAGGTTGATCACCCAAGATCGTGACTGTCAGGAGGGGGAACCCAGGCAGGGCAAGTGGAGAGGGGAGCAAGTGCTGGAGGGGTACTACTATTCCTCTGGCCCCACTTTTTCTAGGGATAGTCACTTTGTGTGTGGGAGAGCGAACATACTGGACTATTCTGTAGGTTAGGAAGCTGACCAGAGGGAATCCCGTAAATGCTGCGGTTTCTGTCCTGTCGGGGATTCCCCCCACCGAAACAAAGAATCGTGTTTTGGCAGGGGAACCTCAGATTTGGACATACTAAACTGGACAGAGACATTCAGGGTTAAAGAAAGTGACAGAGGCAGGCAGAGATGGAGAAAGAGGCAGAGAAAAGCCAGGTTGATGAAAGACGGTCTTCCCCCTGCATGTATTGGATCTGCTTTTAAGTGCCTTCCCCCACCCCCACCGCCCCCGTAGTCTCAGTGCCCTGTCCCTAACCTTCCTGCTAGCGCTGTCCTCTAGCCCTGTGCCTTGAACATCATGAACAGCTTGTTGTCTTCGGGTACCTACCCCTCACCCAGTCAGATCTGGGCGATCCACCTTTGGGCAGGGAAGGACAGAGGACAGAGGTGCCCAAATGCGGCAGCGCTCACAGGACTTCAAAAATAACCCAGTAAGGCTGGGCCACCATTCTGAGTCATCCATTGGGGACACAGCTCTGTCGGCACCTGCTGCTGTTTTCTCGGGAAAACTTAAGAAGCCAAAAAAGGGGGAGAAGCACCAGCCGGCAGTAGCTCTAAAAATAGACTGCATCTCAGGATGTTCCCCGGGGAGAAGTTGAGCCTCCCCACTGCAGATGGAGCCTCTGGGAGGCAGGTGGTGGGTGCCTGTGGGTGTGCGTGCAGGTGTGTGTGTATGTGCATGCACTCTTGGGTGTGTGTGTGTGCATGGGTATGTGTTCTGCTGTGGTCCTTTCATTGGGATTCCAATAGGAGGTGTTTATGTATGAGGGTGCATATGTGTGTGTCAGATGTAATCAGCAAGGCTGGCGGGCAGGGAAAGCTTGGACCTTCTTGATCTGGTGAGCTCAGGTCACTGCATATTTTATGCCTACATGTCTGTACATAGGAGGATCTGTATGGACTTGTCAGCGCATATATGGGGAAGACAGGAAGAGGCAGTCCATACACATACTATGTGTTTATACCAGTGCATGTGTGCATGTGTGAGCATGCATGACTGGTCCTCAGTTTCTCATCTATGGCATGGACATCATGCTGGCTTCTACCTCATAAAGTCGTGGCTGTGGGGAGAAAACATGTCACCTACTGAAAGTCAGGTTGATTTGCACTAAGTCCCTCAGGGTACAAGGAAGAGGCTAACTTCCTGATGGGGTCAGGTATAGTAGAGTGGCTTCGGATGCCCAAGGGTCTCTCTGAGTGTTTTCTGGGGGCTGGGTGGATTTTCTATCTGGAATCACCTCTGAGTCTGCGGCTATGTAACGTTCCCTGCCCTACAGTGCTTCTCTGGGCTCCTAGCAGTGCTAGGGAAAGGAATGGGAGGGTTTTGGGGGCTGTTTCCCGGACAAGGTAATGAAATCAAGAAGTGGCAGAGGTGGGATTAGAATTCGGGGTTTGTGCCCCCCCCACACCCGTTGAGCATCCTTCAGCTCACACCTTGGCTGATCTGAGTCCTTGACCCTTCCCTTTGTACCTATAGGTCCTTCAAACTGGCACAAGCTCTATCCCATTGCCCAGGGAGACCGCCAGTCACCCATCAATATCGTGTCCAGCCAGGCAGTATATTCGCCCAGCCTGCAGCCACTGGAGCTTTTCTATGAGGCCTGCATGTCCCTCAGCATCACCAACAATGGCCACTCTGTCCAGGTGGACTTCAATGACAGTGATGACAGAACCGGTAAGTGGCCTCAACCAAAATCTGGCACAAATCCCTTCCGTGTCCTCACCATGGGTGGGGCAATCTTAGGAGGGGCAGCATGCTGTGGTAGGGAAGTGAAACTCTACTTCTCACCAACTGCAGTGAAGCCCAGAGCTCAGTCTCAGTCTCTCACTGCATAAAACGGAGCGACAGTATTCTCTAGGGTCATAGAGGGGGCACTCGAAAAATCTGATGGGACGGTTGTAGTGCTGCATGAGACAGATGCTCACAAAATGCTAACTCCCTTCCTTCCCTTCCTCTCAGAGCTTCAAATCATCTTTGTTTTCATTCCTAGCCTCTCACTGTCCTGCTTGTGGCCTAGGGCCAAGCCATCTTCCCTGAGATCAGACCAGGCCCAAAGAAAGAGGAGGAGACTGAGGTGCTCTTTGTACCAGGTTACATTTGATAGAACTCAGGCAACCTCACATGGGCAGTAGTGGCACACACCTTTAATCCCAGCCCTTGGGAGACAGATGCAGGCAGATCTCTGAGTTTGAGGTCAGCTTGGTCTACTGCAGAGCCAGTTTTAGGACAGCCAGGGCTACATGGGAAAACCCCATCTCAAATAAACAAACAAAAGAAAGAAAGGATGGATGGATGAATTCAGGCAAATTCTTATTATTTAGCCTTCCCAAGAACCCATTGCCATAGCCGGGGCTCAGTGGTTGAGCACTTACCCAGCATGCACAAGGCCCTGGGGATACAGCTCAGTTGGTACAATGCTTATTTAGAATGCACAAGGCCCTGGGTTTGAGCCCCTGCATCTCATAAAACCCAGGTTCAGTGGTACACAACTGTAATCCCACAACTCTGGAACTGGAAGCAGGAGGATAAAAGTTCAAGGTTATCCTTGGCTCCATAGTGAGTTCAAGACCAACCAAGGCTAGTGACCCAGCCTAAAACACCCTCCCCTCATTAGCTGGGTTATCAAATGCTCAGTAAGCCTCTGTCCTTGCTGCAGAGGGGAGAAAGCCTAGGAGACCCCCAGGAGCAGAAGACAAAGCACCATTTATACTGACCCTAGACAAAGCCTTCACACAGAGCCCAGACTCAGGACAAGGGGTCTAGATGACAGTTTGTGAAGGAGCAGTTTGTAGGCCAGAAGATGCCTGCTCCAACTTCATAGGTCTCTTCAGTTCATCCATGACCTTCAAGGTCCTCACCATCATGGACCAGAGTGAAGCTTGCAGGAAATTGTGGCCGTGCCTTCCCAGGCCTCTTTGCTTTAGGACCAGAGTCCAGGTTTCCAAGATAATTTCCCTGACAGAGGCCTTAGGAATATGCTCTATTGAAGAAATCTTGCTCTCATCACAGGGTCTGTGAGGGAGAGAGTTGGGTAAGAAGAGGACCTGTGAGGGTTTCTTTTTCTTTTTTCTTTTCTTTTCTTTTTTTTTTTTTTTTTTTGGATTTTTCGAGACAGGGTTTCTCCATAGCTTTTTGGTTCCTATCCTAGAACTAGCTCTTGTAGACCAGGCTGGCCTCGAACTCACAGAGATCCGCATGCCTCTGCCTCCCGAGTGCTGGGATTAAAGGCGTGCACCACCACTGCCAGGCCGAGGGTTTCTTTATGTAAGGAAATATCATTCTTGTTTTTCACTCCTCCCTACCCACTTCTCAATGAAAGCACTCAAGAGAACTTATCTGTCAAACAGAAAATCAAGAGAAAAGAAAAGCCCTGCCTTTCCTAAAGAGAATGACATTAGTTACTTATCTCTGAGTTCCTTGGGAGGCAGTGAAAGGAAAAGAGGCTCAGCCATAGTCCTTCCTGCAGAAGGAAGCCAAGCAGAGCCTTAGAAAAGACAGATGGTATGTTACCTTGTTTTGGATTCTAAGCAAAGTCTTTTATCCAGAGCCTTGGGAAGGCAACAATGGGACCCAGGATGGCCATGAATGACATGGAGGAGCAATTTCCATGGTTGTCCCTTTGAACAGTCTTCAGTGGTTCAACTCAAACATGCCTCTTTGCCTTAGGACCAGAATCCAGGTCTCAAAGGTAAATCCCTAGGTAGAGGCCTTAGGCAAGTCTTTAGTGAGTTTTTGTATAACTGGTCTGAGGGCCCACGTGAGAAGCCTGACTGGGGCCCTACTTCCCTGCCAGGCCAGAGAAGTCAGAGAGTTGGTGGAAAGAGGAAGAGAGATGGGACTCTGCCACCACCCGCTGTAGGTTACTCCGGAGGTCAAATGGGCTAATTTATCCGCGGAGCACCAAAATACACAGAGAGTTTACAGTGAACCAGAGAAAGCGAGAAGGGAGACACCCCTGGCGCTATCCCACCATCCTGTAGGGTTCTAGGAGAGAAACACTACAGATGGACCCAGAAGCCTCTCAGACACAGAGCAGCCTAGGATTCTGTGCAGAGCCACCACCAAGCCCTGACTCTTTCTGTCAACCTGTTGTACTATGGCCCTAGATAGCCTGTTTCTAACATGAGGCAGGGCAGCAGAGACGGGCCTCTGGATTTTGTCCTGATCACCCATAATAAAGGGGCCTGGTAGAACTCCGAGCTTAGATGTCACTTGATCTAGGAGCTCACATTCAGGCCTAGCTGGGGCCTCTCCACCAAACAGATCCCTTTCAGCTGGAAATTCTATCAGTCTCAAGAGGCCTGATGCGTAGCCCTAGATCATCAGCTATCAAGGTGAGAGAGACACAAAATCAGCATGGCTGGGGCCCTCCAAACAGGCCATTTGTACAGGGGCCGGTCCTGGGAGGCCCTGAGACTGGCTGGGAGGGTAGGGACTCCCAGGAGCTGGCCTCCTGTTCCAAGGCAATGCCATGTTCTGGCAAGGCTCCTGGTTGTAGGGAAGCAATGAAGCCTGGTTGGTGGCTAGGAGTTTGGGACACAGAAGCTGTGGACTTGCACTATAGCTCGGCGCCTCGTTTTGTCCCATTTTCCTCCTTTATAAAATATGTCCAAACAAGCATGATGTCATACTCCTTTAATCCCTGTACTTGGAGGCAGAGGCAAGTTGATCTCTGAAAGTTCAAGGCCAGCCCAATCTACATAGTGAGAACTTGTCCCCAAAATAAATAATAAAAGTAAGACGAAATTGGCCCCCAAATAAATCCTGTCCCTCCTGAGCTACTAAAATAGTAGACAAAATAATTGTTCCAACTCAGCCTTGGGTCTGGACCCCAGACATAGGAGGCCCATTGTTAGTGGGAACAAAGAGTCTGAGAGGCGGGAGCCCAGTCTACAAAAAACCTGGCAGGACTTGGGAGGAGGAACCAGTGCAAAGCCCTCTACCCAGAAGGCTATCACATCTTCTGCCTTGACCCAGACTGGGGGTCAGACTGTAGGGACTGGTAGGACAGACCCACATCCTATCCATCAGGTTTTCCATATGGAAACTATAGCCTCTAACCAGGTTTAGTAGTATAAGCCTGTAGTCTTAGCTACTCTGGAGGCAGAGTCAGGGGGATAATAAGTTAGAACTGAGCCTAGAAACTTAATAAGTCCCTACCTCAAAATGAAAAAAAAGTCCAAAAAGGGTGAGAGATAGCTCAGTGGTAGAGTGCTTGCCTAGCATATTTGAGGCTCTGGGTTCAATCCTCAACATGGTCAAAATTGATAAAGTATGGAGCCCTTGGTTGGAGATATAGTTCATCAATAAAGTGCTTGTCAACATGCATAAAGCCCTGTGTTTGATCCCCAACTCCCCTCTTCTCTCATACACACAAACAAACACACACACACACACACACACACACACACACACACATTGCCAGCCCAGCCACCTAGTTAAGTGATTTCCCATATTGACTGTCACATCCTTCTTCTACCCACAGTGGTGACCGGGGGACCCTTGGAAGGGCCCTATCGTCTCAAGCAGCTCCACTTCCACTGGGGCAAGAAGCATGATGTGGGCTCAGAGCACACGGTGGACGGCAAGTCCTTCCCCAGCGAGGTGAGGTCTTTTTTGCTGCATCTCTCTGCTGCCTGGGGAAGGAAGGTGTATGGGACCGGGTGGGGGCTCAAAGATGCCTGGGGAAAGGGCTCTGGAGAACCTGTGGAAATGCACCCAGGGCCTTTGGGAGAGACCCTCTCCCCATCTGCATGCTGTCCACACTCCTGAACACATCCTGGAGTGTTCTGGAAGGACCTAGAGATCTAGAGTGGAATGGATGCTACCTGTTGTTCTCTAGGGGCTCCCTAGGATCCCGAGATAAGGAGGCTTGCAGCCCTGCCTCTTCCAGAGAGAGCATGGGGAGACAGATTTCATGCCCCTCGCTGCTTCTGGAGGCACTCAGCCCTGGCCTTGCTTAGCTTCTTTTTGCCTCTCCAGCTACATCTGGTCCACTGGAATGCCAAGAAGTACAGCACTTTTGGAGAGGCGGCTGCAGCCCCTGATGGCCTGGCTGTGGTCGGTGTCTTCCTGGAGGTGGGTGGTGGATCCTCGGGGTGAAGAAGAGTGTGGAGGTGCATGTGCTCCTTAGTTTTAGAATGAAGGGATTGGGGGCTCACACCGTCTTCTCCCTGACAGACAGGAGATGAGCACCCCAGCATGAACCGCCTGACAGATGCACTCTACATGGTTCGGTTTAAGGTGAGACCAGGGGTTCCTTTCTAGAGCGGCCAGCTGGGGAGAGAGCATGGGGGAGACTGGCTCATGGAGTGGCCCACTTCACTTTTGCATTCTGGCAGCACCTCTGGCTGAGACCCAGGATGAGGGTCTTCATCACCCACGGGTGCCTAACATACAACTTGGTAGGGTATGTATAAAGTACTGGTTGTATGGATAGTGGTCCTGCTACCTGGCCCCAGCGAGGGCATCCAAACGATGACCAGAGAGCCCCCAAAGCCACAGCTTTTACATGTAAGCAAACGAGGGGGCCTGGCCCTGGCTGGGAGGTGGCACTTGGGGTCACGGATATTTGCTCATAATTTGCATCATCATATCAAGGAGAGGCCCAAATCCTGCAGACAGCAATAAGCAAGGAAGTGGCTGGGCTGATCTTGGGAGGAGCTTCGTTCTAATTCCTGGGTTCCCATCCTGCCCAGGATACCAAGGCCCAGTTCAACTATTTCAACCCCAAGTGCCTCCTGCCCACCAGCCGGCACTACTGGACCTATCCCGGCTCCCTGACCACACCCCCGCTCAGCGAGAGTGTTACTTGGATTGTGCTCCGGGAGCCCATCAGAATCTCTGAGAGGCAGGTGAGTCCTCCCAGAGTTCCAGGAGTAGGAGCATTCAGATCTCAGCCATGGTAGGGTAACTCCCAACCAGCAAGATGTGGTCTGGGCCCTCCCATGGGACTCTCATCTTTGACCACCAAACCGAAGGTTTTTTTGAACTGATGTAAGTTTGGTTGCTAGTGCTGAGGACCCAACCATGGCAAGAAGGGAAGAAACCTGGTCCTGGCATCACTCTTAGTGTGTTGTAGTCAGAAGTTCCAATGGCCCAAACGCCTCCACTAGACGTGCTTGGAGCTAGCCTTCTAGTTCCTTGTTCAGGGACCGGGTAGAAAACAGATAACTAAGGGTAGAGAGAGTGAAGCCAAGCAGAAGTAGGGCAGAGTTCCCTGAGCAGCAGCTGGGGTTATAGAGGAAAACAGCACCCACCCCTGCCATGACCATCCTTTTTGTCTTAAAGATGGAGAAATTTCGGAGCTTGCTTTTCACCTCCGAGGACGATGACAGGATCCACATGGTAAACAACTTCCGGCCACCACAGCCGCTGAAGGGCCGAGTGGTCAGAGCATCCTTCCAGGCCTGAGCTTCCCACCTGCCCAGCCAGCCACTGGGGCACCATCTTCCCAAGGGCTTCCATGTCAGCGGACACCGAACCATCTGAGGCTCGCTCCCTGAGGGTGCTGTGGGCCCTCCTTCAGCTGGCTTGCTCCTTAGCCACATCAGAGGGTTCTTGATGGGACTCTGGAGTTGGAGGTACCCTTCTGCTTCCCTGGGGAGCTGGAAGAACAGGAACTGAGCAGAGTCCAAGCCTGGGCTGCCTCTGTTCCCCAAGACCCAAAGGAGGCCCCTAGGAATGTCCTCTTGTCTTTCCTGCTGGCTGTGTCAGCAGCCCAAACTGGAGCTCACACTGTGATGGCCAAGACACAGCTCCCTGGGGTAGGCAGCTGTCTCTACCATAAAGACTCAAGCAATAACTAGAGGTGGGCAGAGCTGCCCACTCTGCATTACCTCTTTTGCAGGCCTCTGCCATACATGCACCTCACTGCCAGGCCATTAAAATAGCACCCAGATGCTGGAGGTGATGTGGCCTCCTCCAGCCACATGCTGCCACGGGCAGGCCCTGGCTATAGCTTATACACTGTCTCCCTTTGTTCCTCCTACCCAGCCACCAAAGCCACCTACATAACAATCCATTCATGTACTAACAAATAAAGTCATTTATTCATGGAACAAACTCCCCTGAGTGCCTCTGCTCTGTCCAGTACTGTTCTAGGCTGTGGGGAGCCGGCGGTAGTGAGTCAAGGAGGGACCAGCACTGGGCAGTAGCTGATGGAAGCAGAAGGAAGGAGAGACTCCCTTTTGGAAGAAGAAATGTAATTCTAGCCAGTATTCCAAGGCAGAAAGGAAGAGCAGCATGTGTGAGGTAGAGGAGAGGGCAGGTGTGGTGTTCCCAGGTGACAGCCTAACTGGCTGTAGGGTTGATCCACAGGGCAAGGGTTTGTGGGGAGGGCCCAGACTACTGAGGAGTCATGGGCAGGGCCAGGTGTGCAAATGGGACCGATTCCCACGGAGTGAAGAGGAAGTGGTGGCCAGTAGCGCGGAGACAGTGAGGACAGGCGAGAAAGAAGAGATCAGAGAATGCCCCCAGAGAATGTGCCCAGGGGGTGGGACCGAATCCTAAGAGGAACTGATTGCGTTAGCTGTCCATATTCACCAGCCCTGGAAGGAACATTTGAGGTGGCATAAAATCTAGGTCTAAACTTTGTATTTTCGAAAACCTGAAAATGCGTGTTCCCTTAAATTTACATCAGAAGTACTTCCTTCTCTTGCAGGGAATGCCTGTGGCTGCTCACATTGGGGTTCAGAGTCTTGGTGAGCATTGCGATCCCAGGGAGGCAGGAGTGAGGAGTAAAGGGCTGAGGACACAGGATAGGGACCAGTGCAGCAAAAGCAAGGGAGGGACAGCTGCGGGGCACTTGGGGAGGAAGATCCTGGCAGAGAGCAGGGCTGGCAGAGGCTGAGGGCAGGTCACCCTCGCTCTTGTCATTTTCATTAGACTAAAAAGACACTTCTGGTCTCAGGGTACCTCTGGGCCTTGGGCCTCTGACTTTGAATTCTGGAAGGTTAGAAGGGGAACTTGCCAGGCTTGGTGGTATAGGCATGGAGTCCCAGCAACTCCAGAGGCTGAAGCGGAAGAGTGAGTTCTAGATCTGCCTGGACTGCAAACTCAAAGGCAGCCTGGCAACCCAGTAAGACTGTCTCAAGATAGAAAGCCAAAGGAGGAGAGAGGGGTCCCAGGTGCCGGCCCTCTCTGGGGCACTATAGGCAGTTGCTGGCTGATATGAGAGGGAGTCACTTTTATTGGGGAGACTCTCACTAGCCAGCTAGCTGGTTGCTTATGAGTCAGCGTGTGGTTCCACGGCCAGCCTCATGCAGTCAACATTAATTGGACTTGGTGGACTATTAATAATAACGACTTGATGTTGGGAGTGAGATGGATTGGTGGGTCCCGAGGGAGTTTGAGGTGGGTAATTGGAGAAGACGGATGAGATCAAAATACACTGTATGCGTGTGTGAAATTTCCAGAGAATAAGTAAGAAATCAGAGTGAAAAGAGGGCTGGAGGTATAGCTTAGACATAACACTTACCGAGCGTGCATAAGGCCTAGGTTCAGTCCACAGTGCTATAAAAAGAAAGAGAGAAGGAGAGAGAGGAAGAAGAAAGGGAAGAAGGGATGGGCAGAGAGAAAAAGGAAAAAGAAGAGGAAGGCTTACTCTTTTGCACCTCTTGTTCCCAAGTTCAGGGCCCATCCGCCTCCAGCGTGGTTGAGGGTAAGGAGGCCCCTCTGCAGTGGCTGCCTTACACAGGGCCAGGCACAGCTGTGTCCCTGACTTCAGGCTGGTTTCTTTCTCTGGGTTTCAGGAGCAAAGGGGAGTGGAGGAGTCTGAAGGTAGCTTTTTCCCAGTTATGGGCAGGTGGCTCTGGCAAAGGGGAAGTAAACCTAGCCACACTAGCAATATGAACTGCAAGAGCAGCCAAGGACCCTCGGCAGAGGTCCAGCCCCCTCCCTGCTGCCTGAGAATTGCCGTTACCCTCATTTTACAGGTGAGGTATGAGGACATGTGGCACAGCAGGGGTTGAAATGATCTGTCTGACCTCTCTCTTGCTGTCCACCGAGCATCTGGATGTAAGTGGGCATGATGGTGGCCTCCTGGAGGAGGCAGAATAGTCGAATTCTGATGGGTGTGCCGGAGACCTTGTCCAGTCCTTCTGGGGACTGTGGCACCTCAGGCTTGGCACTGTTAAGGACTTGGAAAATTGGAGCTGGTTTTATAATTATCCCAAGGCTGCCAAGAATCCTCACTCCACAAGTCCTTTCTCTTAATTCATTTTTTTCAAATTTAAAACTATTTAAAAACCCAATGTGGCCTCCTTATGTTATAATCACAGCCTAAAATCTGACCCTTTTATATCTAAATGGGATGGCCCATCTGGATCCCAAACGCTTCCAGCAAACTTGGCCTCTAGGGACCTATTACTGGGTCTGGACTCTTCATCCAGAGCAAGCTCCTTGGTTCATTTCAAGGATACAAGACAAGATAGATTCTGCTTGCTCACAATAGCTAGAGAAGCCTTCCCTGGATAGTCAGGGTGGGCGTCAGAGACACAGGCCCATGGAGGGCACAGGCATAATTGAATCTGTGTCCAGTCTAGGGCCATAGGCTGCCCTCCCAAATACCTTACAGAGGAACAAAGTCCAGGACCCCAAAGCAGGTGTACAGCCATGAAGCTAACACCTCCTGGAGCTCTTCTTACGAAGAACTTTCTCCCAGTGTCGTGGTTGCTGTTGCAGCGGCTGCTGCAGAAGCCTGGGAATATTCCCTGTGCACTGAGCAGCTTGAGGACACCCGCCCTCTAGGATGCTCCTGTCTTGTGAGGTAGCGAGGAACCTCACAAGATTTACTGTCTGGAAGGGGAACCCCACTTGGTTGCCGAGCTGATAGGGGCTGAAGTAGCAGAGGACCTTTAGCCATAGGTGGAGTTGGCTGAGGACAGAGAGGAAAGTCAAACAATATATCAGTCAAACCTGGACTTCTTGGGGAACTTGCAACACCCATGGCTCTCAGCAGCAACTTGGAAGCTGCCCTCAAACACAGAACGTACTACTGATTGTCACGGTCAGGGAGAAGGGGAGCAGGGTGACTCTGAGCAACAAACATTCTGGCATTTGTTTCCCTAGCCACAGCAGGGCTTGGGGAAGGCATTTGTCCCTTGGGGACACAAACCCTGGAGCAGACATTGTAGAACATGTCCCTCAATCTCTCTGAAACGTGTTTCCTCCTCCGTAAAATTGAAACGGCACAATGTGAGCCTCATCTGCAGCTCCAAATTTTCCTATAACTACATAAAAATGTAAACGGAAACAGTCTCTTGGTTTAGTGCAGGAGATTGAACCTCGGAATTCAAGCATGCTAAAAACAAGTCAAACAACTCATTTTAATAATAAAGCTTAGAGTTGGAGGTGTAGCTCAGCAGCAGAGCAATTGCCCAGTTGCCTAAGGCCCTGAGCTCGGTTCTCACCACTGCCACGAGAATAAAACATATTTTATTTTAACCTAAACTATATCCCAAATTACTTAATTTTATGTCTCATCAACATCAACTATTATTGAGATATTTTACATTATTTTCTGAATTAACCTTTAGTATCTGGTGTGCTATGTGTGCTCTTTTGGACTTTCTATGTGTGTTTCCTTGGACAGTCGAAGGAGCTGTATGTATTTCAAAGGCTCAAGAGAGTCACCGCTGTCTGCCAATGGGGATCGCATTAAATGGTGCAGTCTTAAGTGGTCACTCATCACAGGATTATCTGCTGGCAGCTTCCGGGAAGACTCTCTGGGCCTGAAAGTGGTAGCAGGAAGGAACCAGACCTGCTCTGGAGTTTTGTCTCCTTCACAAGAACAGCCTTTGTCATTTAGTGTCAAGCTGTCTCCAGTGCCAGGCCGGCCTCATCCAGGAAACATCTCCATCCCCCTATTTCGCTCCAGCCCTGCTGGCCCCGCTTCAGGACCTGGCAGAACACTTGCTTGATCCCAAGTAGAAAAATCAAGACTTGGCAAGGAAATGATCACAGGTGGCTGCTGGGGACTGATGGGGTGGCAGTGTCCCCAAGAAAGAGCCTGCCTAAGTTGAGAAAACTTGATCAGCCTGGGAAGATTTCCTGGAGGGTGGGCCCAGACCAAAACAGCTAGCATCACTGCAAAGGGATGGAAGCCCCAGTGGTGGAGACCACGCGTAGCTGATGGAGCATCAGTAGCTCTTGCCCACAGCGTGGATTCACTAAGAGGAGGTCTGGGTTTGGGGTTCTTGCCCAGACCTTGCAGGGTTTGGGAACTGCCAAGTAGAGGTTTTCTCTTCTGGCTGAGGACCGTGGCAACCCCAGAAATCTAGTAGTCAAGGACTGCTAACGTAAAGGAAAAGAGCCCGTCCTAGGTTCAGGAAGTACTGGACATCACTTGGCACATAATTCCTATCTAAACAAGAAACTTTGAAGCAATCTTACCAGGTACCGGCAATGACTTTTTACAGAGCCCCTTCTTAACCTGCGGCGGCATGGACTTCAAGCCTGGGCCTGGCACTGAGTGGTGTCTAAGTCTCTCCACCTGTACCTCAGATGTTTTTGTCTTGAGGAGTGTGGGAGAATAAGCAAGGCCAGTGTGCCCCAGGTCTCTCGGGTTTTCATGAAGGAGGACTTAGGGTCCTCCTCCTCTTCTCTCTCAGCTTCTACTCCAAACAAGTTCTTGGTGGTGTTGAGCATGTTTGTGACTCTGGAGGGCACCCCACTTTGTCTCTACTTACCAAGGCCCCTGGGGAAATGGTGAGTGAGACTGTTACCACTGCTGCTGAGTGTTCAGGAGTGGAGATTGAGGGTATAACTCCTTTAGCTAGAGAAAGCCGTGAGCATCTAAACTGATGCCATTAGACAGTCGTAACTGCCGAGGTCACGAAGGAACAAAACCTGCTGAAGTGAGCAGGCAGAAGAACTAGAATTTAGGGTTCCAAGTCTAATTCTCTCTACTCTGTCAGGAGGGGCTTCTGTATCAGAAAGACCCACATCCCCAAACAACTTCCTGCTTGCTTGCCACAGGGCCCCAAATCCTTCTATTTGAGTTTCCCGGTG